TATCTTATTAAAATTATTAGTTGTTATTTAATTTTAGGATCATTTTTTAATTAACAGGTCGCCATTATCAACACTATACGATCAATTGACGCTAATTTCATTTAAAATTATTTGTTTTTCCAGGTTTTTGGGTTTTTTTTTTGGTGTGTAATGAAACCGTCATTTTTAAATCTTTAAACCACTTTTTCGATGCCTCTGTAATAGGACGACCCCTTTCAGAATTCGTACAGTAAACACTAGCGAATATGTTGCTTTTTGAAAGTTATGACTCTTGAAATGGTTAAACTCACTATGAACGACAAGTTGCCATTTAAATTTTGAAAATTAACCAGGAAAACAACATTCAACCTTTTTGCTGTGGAACTTTCTTAACGCTTTAAATCAAGAGATGATATTTATTTGCATAAAAAGTTAGATGCCAATTAGTAGCATTTTGGTTCGACTATGGTTAGTTGACTCATAATTCACTGCGGTGAAATATGTAATTCTTTTCCAAATACCCAGATAATTTTCAGTCGTTGCGCAATCTTTTCTTATAATTCATTTGTGTTAGTCTCACTGTGAGTTATCCCCACTTAACTTCGCCAAGGCGCTGTTAGAGGGCGCTGTTAAGCAGTTATAAAAACAGGACACTTATCGTTTCTTTCTCTTATTGCAATGACAATTTAATTCGGAACGTTGTTTAATTTTGGAATGGGGACATGTAATTCTTAGTTTAAATAATTCACACGCATTAATTTTTGTAAATCACGTGTATCATTTACATTCAATATGGTTTTTAATGTCTTAAAATTTTAATTTTATATGTGTCATAGGTAATGTATTTTCCTTAGCTATTGTTATTCTGTTGTATAAAAATACATGAAAATCTCCGCTTGTTGAAATCTATTCCGATTCCTTTCATATCTGCCGGGAATGACGACTTGTCATTTACATGTTCTTTTTTTTTCAATCATTTCACCACATTCAAGGCAATAAAGCCACTAAGACGCAAGGGGTTACTGAGTGTGAGAAAATAGAAAACACTTTTAAGGAGAGAGAACGATAAAAGAACAAGAAGACAGAAGATAACGATTGACATTGCATTTAAATTTCTGAATGAGCAAATTAACCGCGGGAGAAGAAACAATTAGCATAGAACTTACGGTTATATCTAGCCATTTCAGTTGTAAGATAATGAAACATTGCCACCAATCTAGTACTGCATTTAAATTCATAAAATCTAGGTACCGTAGAAGAAAGTAATATTTATTTTGAATAATACAAAAATGTGGCACAAGGCCAAAAAAAGGGAGACAGAATAGGCTTGTCTTCAATCTGTCTTATCTTAAACTTAGCTATCCACAATGACTGACCTAAACATACACGCTTGCTTGGGGTGAAACCATTTCTTACTAACATCCTTTTATAATACCTTAAAAAGCCTCTGGCGGGGATTTTCTAAATGTAGCTTAGATGTGGCACAAGGCCGAAAGTATGGGGCACCCAGTAAGGATCGAACTCACTACTTAGGTGTAATTATTCTAGCGAGACACGCTTGATACTCATTACACCACGTCGAGGTGCCTCCTCAAAGTCTTTATGTAGTCCTAACTAGTCCATATGTACAATATTTTATATGTGGGCGGGGAGGGAATGAAAAACAATAATTTAAAAGTCTAAACCCAATGTGAATTTACATTGTATTTTAACATATATTTATAAGAAACTAAACAAAATTGTGTTCGCGATACCCCCGCCTCACACATTTCTTAATTTTGACAGAAACGTCAGTTAACTGAAGGAAATTAATGCGGGGCTTAAATAATTGAAAATAATCATTCATCCAACCACTCACACTAACACACATACATTCAAACACATATCCGCGTCCTGGGCAAGACGATAAACTACATCCAACAGCTAGGCCTCTGATCAGGATGCTTTGAGGGGCATGGAACCACTTCTTAATTGCTGGTGTTTCCAGGTTCACCCGGACCCCGGTGGTGGGGTAGAAACTGTCAGGGCCACAGTTATGGGCAAATTGTTAACCCCAAACTGGTGTCAAAACACAATGAAAGTGTAAAAATAGGTTTCATTACCAGCAATACATTTTTGTAAAAAATTATTACCAGCAATGAATTTTTGAAGAAAATAATTATTACCAGAAATAGATTTTTAGAGAAAAACATTAAGATCAATACAATTTTGAAAAAAAAAATTACGACCAATACAATTTTGAAAAAAATATTACCAGCAATACAATTTTGAAAAAAAAATATTAGCATCAATACATTTTGGAAAAAATATTACCATCAATACAATTTGGGGGCGAAAAATATTGCCATCAATACATTTTTGAACAAAAAATATTACGATCAATACAATTTCGAGAAAAGTTATTACGATCAATACAACTTTGGAAGAAAAATATTACCATCAATACAATTTTTTTTTTAAATTAAATTTTTTTTAATTAATTTTTTAAATTTTTTTTTTAAATTACATGGTAATATTTTTCTTTCAAAATTCTATCGATGGTAATATTTTTTTTTTGAAAAAAAATATTACCGTCGATAGAATTTTGAAAGAACAATATTACCAACAATAAAATTTTTTTAAAGATATTACCATCAATACAATTTTGAAAAAAGAATTACCATCAATATAATTTTGAAAAAAATACTACCATCAATACAATTTTGTAAAAAAAAATATTACCATCAATACAATTTTTTAAAAAAATATTATTATCAATACAATTTTAAAAAAATATATTACCATCAATTAAAATCTTGTCGGTATTAAATAACCCATTGAAGTTGATATGCCGAAAAACAAGACAAAGCAAAGACATCAACAAATACGAAAGCAAACTCGAAATATGAAAAGCGTCTGGCATCCAACAGATAACTGACACACCGTAGACGAAAGTTCATTCGAACAATTCCCATGAAAAGTATTTATAGAAAAGGAACACGGAAGCTACGTTAAGGTTTGATTTGTTTGATTGATTTTTATTTTTGCAACAACTCCTACTCTGACTTATGATCGCGACTAAACACATTAATAACTGTGTACGTGAAGCTTTTTCAAAACATTTTCACGGATTAATGTGAAGTTTGATGGCTGACTCATCAGTGAAACGAATAGCTAATACTACATTCAGAGTTGTACACCTGTCAACAATTTTGTTTTTTCGGGAAAGACACAATGGGTCACTTAGTGTAAAAGATTTAAAAAAAAAGAAATGTTATTAAGGGACGAGAACAATAGAAAAGTAATTAAGAAGACAGTAGATTGACATTGCATTTAAATTTTTGAATATTAAAATTGGTTGAAAGAAAGTTTCCCGAGAAGTGTGAGAAAAGAAACTAACGGTTACATCTACAGCCAATTCAACTGAGAATTGATGAGACCTTGCCGCCAATCTAGTACTGCGCTCAATTTCATAAAGTCTACGTACCATAGGTAAGAGTGATACTTATTCCGCTTATATTCAGAAATGTGGCACAAGTCCAAAATCGGGAATGAGGGAAAGGATAGTCTTCTTCTGTCTTAACATAAAATTTAGCTAACCACAAGCACTGACCCAAACATACCACAATATTCCTTACACCAAAACAACGTATTTCTATTTACCTATCTTACTTCATCTACCATAATACCTCACCATGAAGTCGTAACTAGCCCCCACATGTACAATTCATTGTCTGTGAGTGGAGAGGAATAAAACAATAATTTAAAAACTAGCCCCAACGAGTATTTGCAATATGAACAGAAAAACTATTTACATGAAACTAAACAAAATAATATTAGTAATAAAACCCACCACAATCCTTAAATGCGGCAGAAACATCAGCTAACTGGACGAAATCAATGCGGGACTTTAATAATATAAAACATTCATTCATCCCATGCATTCATTCAAACACACACTCATTCAAACACAACAACAAATACGAAAATTACATCCGAAATGAAATGCGCTCCGCATCCACCATAGAATTGAAGTCTCTGCTCACTTGAACGGGGGAGGGAAGGGGAATTAATACCATAACGAAGAGCGAAATTTATTCTGCTATGTACAAAAAAATGTGGCACAAGGCCAAAATGGGGGATGGAAAACAGGACGGTCTTCCTCTGTCTTAACTTTAAACTTAGCTAGCCACAAACATTGACCCAGACATACAACAATATTCCTAACACCACAACAGCGCATTCTTACTTACCTTTTTTACTACATACACCATAATACCACAATGTCTCTATGAAAGTCCTAACTAGTCCCCATATGTACAATTCATTGTCTGTGAGGGGGGGGGGATAAAATAAAAAATTTAAAAATCTAACCACAATTAATATTTACAAAAATAACAAAGAGTTAATCTGAACATTTACCATGAACGTATTTATAGAAAAGGCACAGGGAAGCTACATTACATTGCGGAAAAGTGAGTGACGCCGAGATGCCAGGTCAGGATTAATAATATTGCTGATTCTTTGAGTTTTATCAAGAATTTCTAAATATACAACAGGAACACCGGACCATGGCTGATCTAAATTCCTGTCAGAAACTTCCAACTACCATGACGAAGAATATTAAAAATATAATCACAGAATTATTGCAATCTTCTCGGAAGTACGCGACGCGAGTGAATGGTGAAGTTTTAAGGGAGTTAAAAGTTTTAAGGGAGTTAAAAGAAAAAGTAATAAATGTCGGTTGGATTTCGTGAAGGCCTCAGGTCTGAAAGTAAATTAAAAAAATGTCTAATACTTTGGTTTACGGTTGCTTGCGAAAGAAATGTCTGTTTTCAATCACCATTTATCGATTCAATGAATAATAAACGATTTGTTTTACCGGGTTTTACGGGAAAACATGTTTTTTTTCCTTTCTGCTTCAAAACAGAAATTATTTTGGCGTTATAAATTTTCGAACAACTACAAAAGTGAATCTGAAAATCCCCAGACAGCCATGCAAAATGGCGCAGTGATGAATAAGATCTCAAAAGTTATTAAATTTAACATTCGAGACACTCATCAAAGGAGATTAAATATATTTTTAAATTGGTTTTTTGAGTTGATTGTCTGTGTCCGAGCAAGTGGCAAATAGTTGGGCGTAGATAGATAGATAGATAGATAGATAGATAGATAGATAGATAGATAGAAATAGACTGAGATAGATAGATAGAAAGAAAGAAAGAAACAGACTGAGATAGATAGATAGATAGATAGATAGATAGATAGATAGATAGATAGAAATAGACTGAGAAAGAAAGAAAGAAAGAAACAGACTGAGATAGATAGATAGATAGATAGATAGATAGATAGATAGATAGATAGATAGATAGATCACAAAAATGGAAACAGATTAGAGGATTTATGAAAGAAATTATTTCTAATAAATATTTCTAAAAAATATAGAATAATTAAATAAAAATAATATAAAACGTAAATGTAAAATAATCAAATAAATAATCAATAAGTTTTAATTATTCCCAATTAGATGACACTTGGAAATTTGCAATAATGATGAAAAAAAAACAAAAAACTTCTATATGTATACATCACGAAATCGGTAATACCTACGATCCGACGAGCACAAAGTCTACTATAGCCACAGCAGTGGTTTTTCATGGATAAGACAGCTTGACGGAGCCCAACACCCTCCAGGCTGGTCTGAATTCAGAGTTTTCCCACACCTAGATTGGTTGCCAACCAAGGCTATAGGGCCCAATCTGTCCTGCTATTTAGCCATAGCTGGGAAGGATGGATTCAAACATTTCCTGCGTTAATGAGTGCAATGAACTCAGCTGGAATTCGAACTCGGATATCCGATTTCTTATCCATTACGCCATCGTATAAATGCTGATTTTTAATAATAATAAAAAATGAAAAAAAAATGAAAAAAAAAGCATTTTAACTAGTTCCAAATTTAAATGTTGTGACGTTTCTAATGAAAATCTAATGTAGTTAGAATTTCAAATTTGTAAGTTAGATGTTAGCGTTCATTCCAAAGAGTCAGACGTTGTGGATTGGGTTTCGCAGCAAATTTATGAAAAATACAAAAATAATAGTGTCATCCTTATGTAAAAAAAAAAGCTAATTTTAATGGAAGCATTGATAATAAAAAATAAAAAGCCAACACTCAATAACATCAACTATGAACATGGCCACAATGTGATGACCGTGTTTGAAAAAAACACGTTCCCATCACTCTAGATACATACATACATAAAAAATCTACACATTCAGTTAAAAATACAAATAAACTAACATCCTTGATAATGACTAAATCAATAGCCGAAAACGCCCGGATGTACAGAACATTCGAGCAGATTTTACAGAAAAGGAGACACTTATACGAACACAAGAATAATTGAATAAAAAGCTTAATTGCAGTACCTTGTCAGTCAGTCATCTTTAATGAAACTTGTACACACACGTACACACACACACACACACACACACACCCGTACACACACACACACACATTAGATAGATAGATAGATAGATAGATAGATAGATAGATAGATAGATAGATAGATGACGAATTTAAAAAAATCATCTAAAAATGAATCTATATATATAACATGGTCGTCAGTACTGGCACTGATGGTTATCAGTTGACAGCTTCGTTCCTTCATCGGCTCTGCCCACGTTGTGTTCTCTGATCACAGTGCAGTGAAGATCGAACTTTCGTCCGCATTTAGGCGCTGAATCGAGTTGGCAGAACTGTGCTATGGAAAAGGACAAGAATGCTTTCGTCGGTAAAAACAGAAATATCATGAACTTTTTTCGTAAAAAAGAGGTTATATTTTAAATCTAAATAAATTGTTCACTCGCCAGTAACTCACAATCGCCTGATGAGATGCATTTATGCACATCGAAACGTGACTGCAATTGTGTAGCGATTTTTACATGCTTTCGGTGTAATATCCAAAAATTAATAATATTGCTCTACTTTGTATTGAGCCCTCTTTTTAAATTAAATATTACTATCATTGGAATTGTCCTCTATCCATTCTCATCTTACCTATATATATATATATATATATATATATATATATATATATATATATATATATATAAAATTGAACATTGAGGTCAACACTCAGAGGCGACAGGCTGTTTCATGCTGGACGCAATCGTCAGGCGGCCTGACAATTACGTCCAGCATGAAACACCCTGTCGCCTCTGGAGTGTTGAATTCAATGTTCACTTTTATATTTATATTTACATACGCTCTGTCTCTGATATTGAGCACTTTATCCCATAAATATAGCACACCTTAAAACTATATTTTTTCATATATATATATATATATATATATATATATATATATATATATATATATATATATTCTAAAGAATTAATGGATTTATTTTTAATCCGACATTTTTTATTACTTAATACGTTATTATGTGGACACTGGTTTTTAAAATAGACACCCCATTTTTATTTTTAATTTATAAATGTGTGGGTATCATTTATTTTTTAATTTATATGTGTATTAACTTT